TGGATGCAGTCCACCCTGGTCAAACAAATGTGCCTGGAAAATATGGAGAGAAAAATTTATTTCATATAGTTTTAATGTATCATTGTCACAAATCTTATTTTTAAAACATCATTCTGAAAACTAAGAACATTCGAAAATCTCATTTTAAATTAATTTGGACAGATCAAACTTGACTCATGCATAAATTAAGAGAAGAAAAAATCAACAGGCAAAAAAAATCTGACTATGAATTGTATTCAAAATGAGACATCCAAAAGGTTGTAATATTCTCTATACGTGTCAGTAAATGTACAATATGAGTGAGGTAGGATCTTTCTCAAATTATTTAATGTGAGACAGAGAAACATTCAAACTTCAAAAACTGTTATATAATATTCTCTAAATGCTGCTTGACAGCCCCAAAATTATTTAAACTTGGTCAGCCTTTTTCTTGGTTCAGGCAGTTTTTGTGGATTTTATGAACACGATTGAAACGCAAAAAAATAGGTTTGAATCTTGAGACTGACAGATAGGTCAACTTACGACTTTGGTTCCGTTTCGAAAGAGATGATCAACCAGCATCCAGACTTCCTTGGGAATATCAAAAGCCTGGAATGGTTCTACTTGTTGGGAATTAGACGGGTCACTCTCCTGTCATGAAAAATAAGAAAGTTTTCCAGTCAGTGGTGATCAGTCAAATAACAGTCAAGCATGTTTTATATACACATAATCCTTTGTACCGGTATTCCATTTTTTATCAGAACATTATGATGGAATTTTGTCATGGCAACGGTTTGTCAAAGCTTTGATTCATTTGACTGAATACTTTATCCATATTGTGAGTTACACAAAAAATTGGTACCGGTAATGGTAGTACAATTTTATCTGGTACACCAGGTAAGTTTCATCAGAAATTGATTCACAGTAGCGTGGTGGTCTACATAAATTAACTTTGGCTGGTGAAGATTGACTGAAATCTTAGCAATTTCAAAAAAATATATATTTTTTCATAAATTAGCTTAGGTAAAATCTGTCTAAAAATGCATTTTTGACAGTATTTATTTAACTATAAAATAGTTGTAAATGACCCAAAATACAATTTTTGGAAGATCAACTCAAAAATCTATACAGGCCAACTATACACCCCTGCAGATTAACCATATATTTTGATAGTAATCGGCTGAATATTAAGTTATCACGTTCATAAAGTTTATGACCACAATGCCAACACTGGACAAATTTAAATACTAAAACTTTCCTTTTAATTCATTACAGGCAAGCAAAAAATTGTTTGTTTTTTTATAAATTAGCTAAAGTAAAATAACAATCTGTATAAAAACAAAGGTTTTACAACAAATATTCCACTATTCTTGAGGGCGGACTTTTTCATCGCTTAGCAACCATCATGGTGAAAACAAAGATCGAAAACTCCTAGAAAACTGTATTTTGGGATAGTTGCTGAGACTCTCCTAACAGCGTAACTAGATTATCCCTACATGTGTAATGTATATAAATTTGGTTGCTCAGGATTACTTCAAAGTTGAGTTTGTGCTGTTTTCTCGACTTGACCGGTGTTCCACAGCAGCTTGCACAGAGACCATAGAAATACATGGTACACTGGTGCTTATTTTGGCAATGTAGAACGTTCTGTGACGTAGCTTTGCCAGTAAATAAAATACATCACATACTGTCCATTTATCAGTACTAATCTCCACATATTATAACTTAAATTATGTAAAAAGTGTTCCCATTACCATTTGAAACAGTAACTCTATCGGTATTTCTCTGATTGGTCCATGCATTCTAACCAAGGCTTCAATAGAAGCGCCAAAACTACTGGGTATGTAGTTTCCTGATATTGAGATGTTTGCAAAGTTAAGGATAAAAAACATGGTAGCCATGGTTACAAACATACACATTGAAAAATGATGTTTTGAGCAAAAATAAATTTAAAAAAAAAATGAAATATCCTACAATTAAAAATAAAATTGGAAATGCAATTTGAAGTGATATAAATATCCAAAATGAATGTCAAAGAAATTGTGTGTGTGTTTCTTTCTCTTTTTTTTTTTGACAGGTAAACTTAAAAGGATATGAAGAAATCTTTTCCGCCATCTAAGTGAAGTATTAGTATATCTTCCAATTTCTCTCCAGCATTAAGGGATGAAGCAGACATCTTGTCAACGAGAACTATGAACTTGACTTCTACCTTGTCCCCTGTAAATACAAACAAACAAAAATGTTTGAGTTTAACATGGTGTGTGGATATAGTCATTTTAATTAATTTTTTAAGGGGCGTGATTGACTAAGAACCGACCCTGTGCTTGAACTTCATAGAGGCACCAAAGCCAATTCCCATAATTCACAGTGAGTTGACTTTGTCACTTTTGATATTTCATCTATTATTCTTGTAAGTGCTAAGGCCATTTTATAAATTTTGGCTTTGAAGTTCAAGCCCTGCAAACCCCTAAAAATCATGATTTTTTAAGTTAAAGTAGATGGTAGGTAAGTAAGTGGAATACAAATACAATGCCACAAAAAACACCCCCAGAATGCAATTTTAACTTACCTGGCATAATAAAACACATAGAGGGCTCTGCTTCCAACCACGGTTTACAATACTTATTTTCATCTAATTTATTAATAAATTCAAACTGGACAGGAACTTGTCCTGAGTTTGTCACAGACAGTGACTGTTGCTGTTCTTCCTTGTACATAACGTTGCTGAAGACAAACTGGGGGGAGATGCAAAAGACAAAGTAAATGTCAAATTAATAAGCATTTTACAAAACAAGGTTGTGGAAAAAAAGAGCCAAAGATTTTGGTTCTGGAGCAAAATATAACCCATTATTGGAATGATCGCCCAGGGCAATATTTTAGAAAAACATGGTAGTATAAATTTCCTATTCATAATCATCGTCACTTATAAAATGACCAAAGCACATACTTTGTATTCATTCTCAAAACTATACACATTTAAGAACAACTTAATACACCTCTACACTGCTCCTACGCCTGTGTACATTTTTACATTTAATTTACTATTTTCAAGATTACACACATGCAAAAAGCATACATGACCCCATAAACTGAACACTCTCTAAATTGAACAACTCTGTAAACTGAACACTCTTAATTGAACTCCTCTGTAAACTGAACACTCTAAATTGAACTCCTCTGTAAACTGAACACTCTCTAAATTGAACTCCTCTGTAAACTGAACACTCTAAATTGAACTCCTCTGTAAACTGAACACTCTCTAAATTGAACTCTTCTGTAAACTGAACACTCTAAATTGAACTCCTCTGTAAACTGAACACTCTCTAAATTGAACTTCTCTGTAAGCTGAATACTCTCTAAATTGAACTCCTCTGTAAACTGAACACTCTAAACTGAACTCCTCTGTAAACTGAACACTGTCCAGTTGAACTCCTCTAAATTGAACTCCTCTGTAAACTGAACACTCTCTAAACTTAACTCCCCAGTAAACTGAACACTAAACTGAACAATCTAAACTGAACTCCTCCGTAAAGTGAACACTCTCTAAACTGAACTCCTCTGTAAACTGAACACTTTTACAATGTTCTCAGTTCCTTTTGGTGTCCATTTTAGACAGCTTTCATTGTGTACAAAAACTCTATAAACCGAACACCTCTGTAAAGTGATCGAATTCTCACTCTTTTTTTTGTGTTCAGCTTAGGCAGGTTTCACTGTATAGAAACTACACTGCACACAACTAATGACATACCTCCAGCTTACTGAGACTGACTTGTGGCAAGAATTCGTTTTCTAGACGATCTAATTGTCTTATCACATCTTCATACACTTTCTTGTATCTCTTCTCATCAATTGTTTTCACCTAGAAAAGACATCAAAATGATTTAGGAGTCACACATTAAATAACATACATGTATTCAGGTTTTAGACAGATGAGTCTAATTAGGAAGTACTTAGTATTAATTATTATTACACTACAATTGTTACTTCAGACTAAAATATGCAAAATGAGGCAATTAATTAACCTGATTAATATCCTAAATGTGTATTGTATCTAAAGCTAATGAAACCTGTGAACTAGTGTGTAGAGATACTTGTAGCCAATATATGAGCTCAATATCTT